GTTGACAGGGCCAAGGGAAATTTGCCTTCATTTGTCAGCTAGGGAATAACTACACACGCTTAGGCACACACACACACACACACTTCAAGCACATTCGTGTGTGTGTTTCACTCGTTACAATTTCGCCTCATTGCCAAATCTAACAGAATTGCGAATTTTCTGTTCTGCAATTCGCGTTGACTGCGCAGCATCCCTACCCTGGCGAGCCACCCCTCCATCCCGCCCCTCCCTTGGCCTTATCTCCCTTGCCGGAAAACATACACAGCCAGCAATTTGGCTCGACAACTTTTCGACTGTAGCGATACAAGTAATTTGTCTCGGGTTAAATTTGGCAAATTGTCGCAATTATCATTCCGCTTTTTGTGCGCATCTTCTAAAGGCAACTCCTTAACCTCCTTCTGCTTCTTCTTCGTCTATTCCTGCATCTTCTTCTTCGTCCACCCTTCTTAGAGAGCAGTTACTGCGCTAATGAGCCAAGACAGAGCATTCATGCATTCGCATTGAGCCGCAGCTAAAACGCCTTCAACTATGCAATTGCATTTACTTAAATTTAAAGTCTCAACGCGCTCATATATGTTCGTACGGGGAGGAAGAGGTGATAGAGGTGTTACAGCGTGCGGGGAGTGAGCGTTACTGCACTTCCCCTTCCGCTGCGGCGCCTGAGCAAAGTTTGTTAGCTAGGAAATGGCTAGGGAAGGCTGTAGACGAGAGACTGTTTCTTGCTATAAGTCAAGTTCTCTTCCGGCTGGCAGTTGCTCACGATGTTCGTGATAATGATGATGATGATGATGCGAATGATAATGATGATGATTGCAATGATTAAGATAATGATGATGCAGTTAGACGCTCTGACAGTCAAATGCAGCAGAATGCAACCGACTGCGCAATACTCTGTTCCATCTTAAATCTTCAGTTAGATCGAAAAAGAGTCTGCACAATTTATTGCTCGGTGACTCTCAAACTGTAATCTTGCTGTCAAGTTTAGAGGCAATAGCTCTCCTAATCTCCCGCCTAATCAATATACTCTTTTTCACTCTATGAACAGAGCATTAAAACAACAACAACAACAACAACTGGCAATGCCGCTGGCTACAGCGAAACGACGCACATGTCTTTCAACACTTTTTATATGCAACTATTTTGCATACGCCAAACACACACAAAGTCAGGGGTTTTTCTCTTCAAAATCCACACACACACACTTGTGTGGTGTGGTTTTAATGTGTGTGGTTGAGGTTGCTGGGATATTGATGTTTGCTGCGTTGACTTGAGCATGGCGGTCGTAGATTTCAACGCTTGTCGTAACTGATACCGTACGTATATAAGTATGTACATGTATATCTTCCCCACGTTGGGTGCCATTAAGGTCGGCCATTTCTCTGTGTGTGTGTGGGGGGGGGGGGGGGGGGGGAGGGGGGAGCTGTGCTTGCTTTCTTCTTACGTTTAACCATCATCTTCTACACCTCCAACTACCACTATGTCTCTGCTTCGTAAGCAGATATGGGGGCTATCTGTGTGTATGTGCGTGTGTGTTCGGGAGGATGTGCGTGTGAGTGTGTGTGTGTTTTAGTGTTGATAAGAAAGCAAACGTCACGATAAACAAGTTGCTGTTGTTTTGATACCCTGTTTAGCCATTCGAAATGGTTTAGAATAGGTATATTGTTGCTTGGCAAATTTATGTAACAGGTAAAAGAAGACTTTGGCATATATATACTTGATCAAAATTAAGAGTCGAACAGATCTGTCTGATCGGTTTGTCTGTACAGGGTCTCTTAAGAACTAGATATCTAATGTGTTAATTACAATTTTCCAGTTTTTGAGCTCATCCTAAAGTTTATAAGCGCTCGAAGCATAAACTTCAATAGAGTCTGGCTTAACATATTGAAAACTTCCCCTTCAGGTTTTGTACCTTTCACAACTAACTATAGATTCGGAAGGTATTTAAAGGTAAAAGGTACAACGTACAGGAGTTATTGCTAGTCGAGCAGCCTCAACTGTAGCTTAGTTGTACTTGTTTTTGTTGTTGTTTTGTTATTGAAACTACCGCAATAGACGAGTAGCAAGAAGAAGCAGAAGAAGTAGAAGAAGCAGCACAAGTGCAAATTTGAAAGGTTTTTGACATTGCTTCATTGCTGTGCCCGTCTCCCACGGCAGTGCCTCCCTCCCCCCTCCCCGCCCCTTTCCACCCTCTGCGTTTCTATTGCAGCCTGTGCTTTTGTTTTCAAGTTTACTTTGCTGTTTACTTTGCTGCTTACTTTACTTGAAGCACGTCTGGAAAAGTCTTTAAGCCATTTCACACTGGACCATAACGAAAATGCACTTTGCTCAGATTTTACAAGGCACGAGCGCTGCGAGTCGGGGAAAATTACGTTTTATGGCACGAAAACAAAGTTTTTCGAATATCAAAAATTATTAGCAATTTAATGCACGACTAGCCAGGAGCCAAGGCACAGAAGCACAGAAGCACAGAGCGTACAAAGTGCCCCGTCCAGCTTTCACTTCACTTTTCTAGCTTTGGAAAACCATGGCAAGTGCTCGATTTTGTGGCAAATTTTACTGACGCCAGACGCCATAACAGTTGCAGTTACAACGGAGCCAAGGGCCAAGGGTTGACGGGAGGGGGGGGACAACACTGACATGGATATGTTAAAAACAACATGTTTTTAGTTCTACTTTATACACTACGCCAGAGTAGAGCACATAAGTTGGGCTATACAGGAGGCACTCTATTTTGTAAATTTAACATCGCAAGCATTAAAGACGTGGAATATGTAAAAATTTAATGGGCCCAAATTTTGTTAAACTTATTTTTGGGCTTTTCATAGCATAAGACTCTCAATAATAATGGAAAACAATCATTCCCGACTTTCAAGTTCCTTAACTTTGTCAAAACTAAACTGATCTTAATTTTTTTTTGCATTATTCTAACTTTGTGTTAACTTTTTGTGAAACTGCAGCAAATGATCCTCCTCTTTTTTTTCCATTTCCACACATTATAAACAAGTTTTGCTAGACATAACTTTGCTAGAACTTATTAAACAAATGTTTGGCTAGAGAATTATCCTTAAAGGGCATTTATAGTGCACTTTGTTGCAACGCGGTTAGCCCCAACAATTTTCATGTTGTTTTGTGCAGCAGCCGCAGCAAAAAAGCAGCATCAGCAGCAGCAGCAGCAACAGCAGTTTCCGTGCCGCCGCTGTCCTCGTTGTTGTTGTTCGTGTTGTTGTTGTTGTTGTTGTTGTTCGTTGCCGTCGTCGACGTCATTTGCCGTCTGCCGCCAAAGTCGTCGCCGTTGCCGGCGTTGTCTGTCCCACATTTTGGTCCATCCGTCGTGGCATCCACGTCTGTTCCATGTCTGTGCATCTAATTTAAAATTATGCAACTGTTTTTCTTTTTTTTTGTTATGCTTTCGCCCCAACCCCTAGCCACCGCCGTCTCCACGCCCCTAGACGCTGCCATTTCCCACTGGCACTCATTGACTTGCCGACTCTGTTGTTGTTGTTGTTGTTGTTGCTGCTGTTTTGGGGTCCCGCGTTGCAAGCCCCAAACAACGGTAATAAATCATCAGCAGAGAGCGGGGCAGCAATAGGGCAGCCTTAACCCAATCCCTCTCCCGCTTCCCCTCTCTCACTTTATCCTACTCTCTCTCTCTCTCCCTCTCTTTTGCTCTGATTGCTGTGGCTGTTGTTTTTCATTCGCATCGTTATCACTGACTGCTGCAATCGACAGCCAGCCCCGCCCGTCCCCCGCTCTGTCACTCTAGGGGCCCGTGTCGAGCGATGCACAAAAAAGCACATTAATCAATTGCTGTACAACGTCTGTTCTATACTCTTTGGTCGCTGGGCCCGGCCGCATATATTTCCATTGTGTTGTGCCACAGAAAGTACCGTTACACGCTTGGCGTACGCCAAAAAAAAAAAAAAAAAAAAACACTTGCCCCCCTTCTTGTCGCGAAACACACACATTTTTGCACATTATGTGCAAGGCGCGTGAAAATTCGTCCTTAGGAAAATTCGCGCAAGTATAAAAACGAAAACGAAAAACAAAAATGACAATAAAAAAAAATAAATGAAATAAAAAAATTTAAAAAATAAAACACACTAACAAATAAAAAATGTTTATGCTGCAAAAATATATATTTACGATCCTGCTGCAGACGTCGACTGCGACTGCGACGCAGGCAGCGCATTTATTTCAATTTATGCGCCCAGCGATAAATATTTGGCCATAAATTTGGCGAATAAATCGCCAACTGAGCCGCATGCAAATCCTGTCTTCTTTTTTTTTGTCGTCATTTTGTTTGTGCATTTGAATACAAATATGTATTCGTGAATATTCATAAAAGTGCGCACAATAATGCATAATAAGCATTGAGATTAAGCCAAAACGAATACAAAATTGAATTATAAATATTAAATCAAATTTATAATTTTAATTCGGCAGTAGCCGCACAGCTGATACACTTGCTCTCGCATTACACTCGTATATAAATCTAAGAACAACGAAAACAAATACTTTGGACAGCAGCTGTGCTTCTTCTTTTGCTGTCAAATGTACTTTATATACATTTAATTCTTAAATAAATTCTGTATTTATTGTGGTCATCCGAAGCACTCGACTAATTTTTTGAGACAGGAGGAAAATAGGTGAAGTATTCTCGCTCTTTACGACTAATTTTAGGGCTTTAGCTCTAGCTGTCTTCGATATATGCCAAGAAATAAATAAAACCTGAGTTGCTAATCGATATATATCGATTTCGAGAATATAAAGGGAGTAATCGATGCCTGCAAAAGTTTTATTTGAGTATAATAACTCTTATTATCTCTGATATTGATGCGTTTATATAGTTGAGTAGTCAGAGTTGTCGCCTTGTGCTTGTTTTAAATGCCTAAACAACTTTCTGATACCCTTATATTTTAGTACCCGTAGGCTATAAAAGTAATTATGCATAATATTGATAAATAAATTACAAATTGTTCAACACTTTTTATTTTTTGCAGATACAACAAACACAATAATGACATTGAAATGGCGCCAGAAATACAAAAGCAGAAAAAGGCCAAAGAAACTGAAACAACAACGAATAAATGCAACAACAACAGCTGCAACAACAACAACAACAAACACTGCCGCAACAGGAACAAAACAATTCAGACTGAGAGAGAGTATGGAGCAGCCCAGCTCGAGCAATTGGCAGTCAAATGAGCGCCACATAACTGTCACGCAAATGTTGCAAGTGCCAACAACAACAACAACAACAACAAGAACAACAATGGCAACACAATGTCATGCAATTAAGGCTTCCAGCTGCAACAGCGGCCATTGTCAGCTGCGTCAACGTCAACGTCAACGTCAGCGTCACGTATTTCCGACGTCAACGTCGACGCTGACGCTGCTGCTCTCGCTGGCCGCAACAGCAGCCATTGCAGCAACAACAGCAACAGCTGCAGCAGCAGCAGCAGCAGCAGCGGTCGCCGCCTCCACATCAAACGCTGCCAAACCTGCCAATTTGTCTGGTTCCGGAACCGGCTCCAGCTCCGGTTCGGGCTGCTCCCTTGCCGAGTTCAGCTGCTCGAATGGACGCTGCGTGCCATTGAGCAAATTTTGCAATAACAACAACGATTGCGGCGATGGCAGCGACGAGCCGCGCTTCTGCACACGTAAGTAGTGAGGGCAAAGGGGATGGAGTGTGGGAGGGGGCGGGGCCAATTATGCAAAGCTGTCATAAGAGATTAGCCGCACGACAAACCTGTGTGTGCAACAGGAAACGCTTCTTCTGTTTGCTTAATTTACGGGCCAAGGGAAACAAATCGAACTCTGATATATCCCCTCACTTTTTGCCCTAACTCTTTTTGCTTTCAATCTGAAAATTTAAGCTTAGCTACACTGCAAGCAAACAGAGACTTTAACAAAGTGAAAGTAAGGCGAAGACAGTAAACGCTCGCAAAATCAAACACCTCGGCATCACAGCTGATTCTGTTTTGCCTAAGCCCTAAACTTTCATATATGAAAAAAAAAAGTGTTATATAAAATATACTTTAAATTTTAACCTATTTTTATTTATTATTGTGTATTGTTTTCTAATAAATCTACCCTCCCTCATTTGCGTACGCTTTACACAATTTTCAAGCCACCACTGTAGCTTAACTGTTATATGTATGTATATGCATAACAGCAGATTACAAAGATCATACGATTTTGCAAAACGCTGCAAGTTTCGTTTTGCATGCCCTTTTGCGTCTTCCTCTCTGCCACTCTCTCTCCCACTCTTCAAATTGATCATTTATTACGCATATAACTGTAAAACTACCAATGCTCTAGCGGCTTTTTTCGCCGCAGTGTAGCGAGCAGCCACTTTGCTCCCAACGTTTAACGTTCTCCCGCCACACAACCAGCCGTCATGTGTAAATGTAATTAAGCACTCTCACACTCACGCGCACACACGTTCACATTTCGACCCACACACACACACACAGTATATGTACATATATACACAACGGCTGAAGCCCTCATAATGGCGGCAAAGTGAACTTCTCACTTTGCCAATTGGCTGCCCATTGGAGCCGTGTGCCCGGCGCACTCTCGGCTGCCAGTCATTGGGAAGGGGAAGGAGGGGGGGGTACAACATGTCAAGCGTTGATGAATTTAATTAAGTATTTTCAATGACATTCGATGAGCGAGGATCAGAACAGCAATTACAAAACTAATAAAAAACAAAAAAAAACCAAATTTAATAAGGGACAACGCGTTGGTGCTTAATTGAAAAACGAGCGAACACATTGTGGGTGCACCGTTAAGCGCAGGTACATAATTTGATCTGGAAGGCCCAACAAAACAATTTCAACAATTACCGTTTTAAATTGAGCGCTTTGACGGCCGCTCGAATGCTGCTGCTTGTTGTTGTTCTTGTTGCTGCTGATAGTCAGTGCGATGTGTTCGTATGTATATGCATATATATGTATGTATGTATGTATGTATGTATGTACGTATGCAGCTGGGTATGCGTGTATATATGTAAGCATGTCATATGCATATTCGTATTACACGCATAATTATCTAATTGAGTATTGATAGCCGCTCGTCTGCCTGTTTGATTTGATTGAATGCAGCTGCAGCAGCAGAGCATCAGCAACTATAACAACAATGATGCTCAGTTGAGGTATTAGCAGACAAATTGAATGGAAATCTATTTAGCCAATTGTCCGTCCAGGCCCAACACAAATCCTATGCATTTTTAATAATACTAATTGAAAAGGAATTTGTAACAACAGTAAGATTGACAATTGTCATGCAAATTGTATTGCAAATTGGATTTTCTACAAAATAAAATCTTATGAAATTTGCATTCCAACTGGAAGGCAACCAACGGTAAATGAACGAAAAGGAGATGGCAGAGAGAGATAAAATGAAAAATTTTTGTTGCTTGCACTTACCACACACACACATACGATTTGCATTTTATGGCTGCCAGTTGCAAATAAACACAAACAAACACTGAACACATGTAAACCATGTTTGCTAAATTATATATAACACAACAATTTAATAATTATTCACAAAATGGACTCATACGGATTATTGAAACACAGAGCGACCGAACTTTGATCGAAGCAGCGCGAGAGCACGATTACCAACTGATATCGATACCTTAGTGATGCCAGACTGATATAAAATATCGATTAGTAATTATGCTGCCAGGCCTATACAAGAAGAATGTTACCGTTCAATAATAATAAGCCTATACATTTAACAGAAAATGCTTTTATCTGAATGTTGTTTACATTTTTTTTTGGCGATTGCATGTTAAGCCGCTGTTCAATCAACAGGCAATTAGCAGCTGGCTGTTGTTTATGGCACCTAACAAAATGGCGTCATTTCAATGGACGCGGATCTTGATAATTGGCAGGGGTACGGGGTGAGAGGGAATTGTGGTTGCCTTGGCAAACAAACAACAAACCTCGAAAGCTAATTGCGTTTAACATGTTTTGATTAGATGCTAACAATTATTGGCGCGCCCCCTCCATTTTGCAGGATGTAATCGCACCTACTACGGGGATATTGGACAGACATACGCTTTGGAGCTGCATCGACCCAAACAGGATCGGGTGCCCTTTGTCTGTGTGCTCACGTTTACGGCAGCGGGCGGACAGCACGGTGATGTGGTGCAGGTGAGTACACAAACCCCCACCCCCCCACGCCCCCTCTCCTCCTGCTGTTACAGCAGCAGCTGGCTTTCAGAATTCATTTGCCAAGTGGGATAAAGTATGCCATTAAAAAGATAAGCAACAACAACAAGAATGCCCGATATTGATTTCAAAGCCAGTCAGTGGAGCATCGCAAATCCCAATCCCAAAGGCGTGCACCGAACGAAGCGTAACTCCAGCTGACAGGCCAGTGCGAACATCCCTACTCCAGCTCCAGCTGCTGCTCCAGCTCCTGACAGGAAGCCAATGCCGGCGCCTGTTAGTTATTACGCCACTTCACACCTTATTCTTTGGCCGGGGGCACTTGGCCAACGGCTTTGCCACGCTCGAGTGCGTTCCGGGAGCATCCTGTGGGGCGGCCAACAAGCCATTGCCATTGATATCTACTCACAGATACGCAACTGGCCAAAGGTTTATTATGGCCCAAACAGCTATGTATGCCCTGTACACCTTAAGAAGGGGTATAATGAAGGTGACGGGGGACAGAAAGCAATTGCAATCGTAAGATATCGTTGACTGTGGGCGTTAATTAGAGCATTTATGCCTTAAATCGATTACAAACTGTTTCTGCCCAGAATCGATAAATATCGATTTATCTTCGTGGCTTTTTGGCCATTTCCTGCAGTTTATATCCACTAAATATGGCATTCCACTTGCCTTACAAAGATTTAATTTATGTCAATTAATCGATAATTGTCCATAATCGATAAATATCGATTTCTCTTCATGGCTTTTTAGCCATATCTTGTAGATGACATTGACAAAATATGGCATGTGTTTTCCATTTGCCTTTATTAACATTGAATTTAAGCAAATTAATCGATAATTAAGCGTTTAGCTTTAAATCGATAAATATCGATTTGAAGACCTGCTGATTTTAAAGAAGACTTGCAGATTTGAAGAGCTAGAGACTCAATATTGGGAATGTAGATTCCCGTTTCGCAAACATGGATCAACCTCCAAACGTAAGATAACTCTTATATCTAAAATCGATAAGTATCGATTCCTAGTATCGATTCCCGTTTGATTATGTTTAGTTCACATTATCGATAGCTCGTTTAATAGAAGCAGATAAATGGATGTAGGCCAGCTCGGAGCTGATTACAGGGTAACTCGTAGTCGCTCAACCTAGACTGGCGCACTTTTAATTGTTTTTGCTGCACTTTTTATTCAATCACAACTTTGTTGCTGCCTATTTTCCACTTTCCCATGGTCACAGGTAACACTGGACAGCTTCACCATTGGCCGCTTCACCAGCTACGTGCACGAGGGCTGCCCGGATGGGTACATGCAAATCGCGGAATCCGCACGGACGCCCATTGGCGGCATGTGGTGCGGCAGCTCGTGGGGACCAGTATTATTCTATAGCGAGACGCGCAGCCTGATATTCACCATCAAGCTGAACAGGTGAGCGTTAGCTGGCGTGTCCCACCTGTTCGTGTTCAACTAATGAGGTTTATTTCTTGCCAAAGACTTGCCCGGGATCAAAGCGGCTACAACTTCGACTTTCGCATTAGGTACAAGGTGCTCTCAAAGGATAGCTCCGTGACACGCTACGGCGGCATTAAGCTGGCAGGTAAATCCGAACGAACAAAGCCCAGTCAAGAGGATTTCATTTACTTTCTCATCCTCCCGCCTGCCCAGAGCTCAGCCAGTGGCACAATCGCAGCAGCTTCCTGAATCCACAGCAACAGCAGCAGCAGCAGGCTTTGGAGGACTTTACAAATTCTAGTGGCGCTCGCTCGGATCGCTATGGCCAGGATTTCAGCCTGTTTAGCGCGTATGCGAATAACAAGACCTTCATGGATTCACTGGAGAAGCCGCTGCCAAAGGACGAGCACAACTACACCGAGCCCAAATACTATCTGGGTAAGTGGGCCGCAAGTTGAAACCCAGACTTTTATACTTGAACCCCACTTCACAGGCGACCTAATACCGGGCACCTATTGCTCGCGCATCTTCAGCGATTGCGACAAGAAGCCCTGCCGCCTGCAATCGCCCAACTATCCGGGCATCTATCCGCGCAATCTCACCTGCTACTATGCGGTGCGACAGGTAAGCAACCGAGCAATATTCACCTGCCCACAAAGCAACCGGAGAGCTGGTTGTCAGTGTTTAGCGCCTCATTATGTGTCCCCTAATGCCCCGCCTCCACCTCCTGCTGCTCTCCTGCTGAGCGCATTAACACCGCCCGCATTAGACTCAAGCGTTGCCCTTGTCTCTTGGCTCATAAAAATGTCACATTACAACAAAAAATTATGCGCTAAATTTCTTGGGGATTCGACAAAGTTCAAAAGTCGTCGGGACAGCGAGTCGATTTAAAAGCAATTTACATTCCCTAAATGGAAAGCGTTTTCTTTTTTTATTATAATTAACTCAGCGAGCCGCAGTTCGTTTCTCCGTGCCATAAAAAGTCTATTAAGCTCGACATGTGCTTATTCTGCAGGTCTTGGGCGTATTCGAATATTTATGTATGGCATATTTTTTTAACAATAAGCATTAGGCGAGAATTATGATTAAAATTGTGTCAGAAGTGGATTCTGATTGCAGGTGGAATATAAGTGAAAGCGATCAAAATCACTTTATGATAGAAAGTTTATAGATTTTCGTTTCGTTTATATTTGAAGGCAATCTCAGAATCTTTCTTGCAGCAACAACTTATTTTTAGATACTTTTTGTCTAACCTGAGACAGTAGGGACTTCAATAGCTCTAAGAGATATTATTTAAATCAGAAAGCAACATTTTTTGAATTGAATTGCATCGATTTTTCTTGTAGTAAAAACTTCTTATAGCTAGTTCTGTCTAACTTCAAACATTGAAGACTTTAAGAGGACTAAAGGACTTTTTTAAAGTCGGAATATTTACACGCTGAGCATGAAAACTTAAATCAAGAACAATTTGCTCAAAATTGTAGATAAGAATCTTTAAGTTTAGAATGTTTTTCAGTATCAGAGGTTCTTAACTGAAGAAGAACCAATTGAATTGTTAGCTATATAACTGAAAGATATTTATTACTTCAAGCTTTCAAGTTCTGAGCTCAATTAGCTAGATGAATAGATAGTTGCAAGGGCTTAAACGCATTCAAAAGCGATTTATTGTAGAGAAGATTTTATTAAGGCGTGAGAGTAGCTACGAATTTAACTATTTAATGAGGTAATTCAAACCAGTTGCAGCTCGTCTGGCTCGTCTTATATTTTCTTTGGGGGGAAGGGAGAGCTTTACTTAAAGCATTCGCAATGCAGCTGGCTGTTATTTATTTAGTGAGAGCAGTTCATTAATTTGCATTTAATTGTGCTTTGATTCAATACAGCACGATGTGCCTCATGGCAAGCATGCGCTGATTTTAGTTAAACAGCCCAAAGGGAATCTGGTCTGGATATCCACGCAGGAGACGGCAACCCAGCCGAGTGCCAGCGACAAGGATAAGAAACTGGAGCCGAGGCTAAAAACATGGAATGACTGCGATTACATTCAGGTAATTAAAATGGCCTTTAAATGCACTTTACTCAGAATCCCACACCACCCCCTCCACCACCCTCTCGCCCGCTTACAATCAACGAGACTCTCCCGCTGTCTGTATATGCCCAGCTCGGCCAATGGCCGGCAAACAGGACAAACGAGTCCTGGCAACTGCGCAAAAAACGACAAATTGAAAATGAAAGAAATGAGCAAAACTCGACAAAAATCTGTTGTTTGCAGCATTCCAGTTCCAACCAGACCACGACCAGACCCAATCCCGCCCCACGCCCTGCCCTCGCATTGTGTTTGACTATGGCCCACATCCAGCTGTCCAGCTGGCACGTCCGTTGTCCGCTGTCCAAATCCGACATTGCCTTGAGCTTCGATAGGCTTTCAGTGCGAAATTGTGGGAAGTGTTAATTTCGTAGCCTCTTTGTTTGTCATTGCGAGCAGAGCGCAAAGGGAACGAGTCTAGCTCTAAAGAAAACCGAAGGCTTCCAACTCTTTTCTCAGCTCTTATCGAGTGTAAAGAGAAAAAAAATCAAGGAAAAGCAAAGCAGAATGGAAACCTTATGAGAGTCTAATTAGTTAAGCATTTCTCTAGCCGGTAAATTATAATTATAGCTTGCTAATAAACTGCTTAAATGAAAGTTCGATTATATATTCCACTAAAATATCCACCTCAACTTTAATAGATGTAGCAAATTTCGTTGAAGGTGGAAGCTAGCTTGAAAATTTATTTCAAAATAGGGAGATTGGAATATTATCACAAGTTCAATGCAAGCATGAGCTTAGAAATTACTCCAAATTTATCTAAATATCTTGAAAACAAACTAAAAAAGAAAACTATTTTAAGCTAAGCTCAAGCTGGAAAGGGTAGAAATTTCGATAAAAGTAAACTCAAGATTATCTTGCAAGATTAGCTCGAGGGCAAATTTACATGTTAAAGCTCTTGAATAGAAAAATCCAAAAGCCTATTCTAATATTGGCAGAAAATTTCCTAAATCATAATACATTTTCTGCAATACCTTTAAAAAGGTTCAGATTAGGAGAAGATGTAAGGTTAAGAAAATGTCTCAGCTGTCCTTCAAAGTTCTTGCCAGGCTTAAGGGTATATATTCCTTAAAGACAGAGGAATGTTTAGGAATGTTGGAAGAGTAAATGCCAAGGTATACCGCCACATCTTAGTTTTTGCTCCGTTTTTCGAGATCTTACTTTCTCTCTAAGATATAAGATGACCTATAAGATATACTGATCAATATCTATAGACCTAGGAGATAGCAGACTTTAAGTTTATCTGGCATGGAGATTTATCTTATTCAAATATATCATAAAGTCCTCAGACAATTGGAAGGATATCGCTCTCTCCCTCTCTCCCTCTCTCTCTCTCTCTTTCTCTCTCTCCTTGAGATATAAGATGCAAGATAAGATATTCTAATCAATTTCTATAGACTTAGAAGGCAGCAGACTTAAAAGTTCCCAGCCTTAGAGTTTTCTGTTTCTTAATCAAAGTCCTTCGACAATTGGAAGACTGTACCCCAAAGTATTTCGCCTCATTTGTAGCTTCTACTCTCTCTCACTCTCTCTCTCTCTCTCTCTCTGTCTCTCTATCGCCAACACCTCATTTCGCTCTGAAATGCACCTTAATCAATTGTGTTTTATCGCCAAGCTACATATATTCTATATGTGTATATATATTTTCTCTAATAGGAAAATGTAAAGCCCAAATGGAAATCAACGGTAAAGAATCTCTGTAGACATGCTACAAAAACAAAAAAACCAAAAAAAACCTTGTTTTCACACATAGCGCCTAACTAATTTAGTCGTAGTCGCGCACCTTAACTAATCACCCAAAAGGCACACACACACCCCCCACCCCCTCACGCCACCTACCCCCTCATGGCCAGCTCAGCACACAGCACACACCCCAGCCCCAGCCGGCGCTTTATTGTATCTAATCTCTTGCAACAATTGTTTGTCATCTTATGCCAAGGCGCAAGATTAATCAGCCTGGCAGCCAAAAGGGACATTCATCGAATGATAGATAATATATTCATTACGGGCAGGTAACGAGCAACGGGAGAGGGGAGGGGGGTTGTTGGGAATTCGTCAGTCGGATTTATATAAATGAACACTCGACACGCACATCATAAATCGCACAATAAAGCTGCATGTGGTGGGGGAGGGGGAGGGGAGGCGAGGAAGAGATAGCTCTATATATGGAGTACATTAGGCGATGTTGTCCTGGCCGCATGTCCTGTGCAAAAGTGGACGAACGTGCCGAGCGAGGCCTCAGCTTATGCAAATTGTGTGTAAATTATTGCCGCAGGATATTCATCTAATGCACGCCAGGACATTCGCCACGGCCCCCACCTCGGCCAGCTCATGAATAGCTATATAGATGCGTTTGGGCCACTTTTCTGATGAATTTCACTTCCGGTCGCAAGTTCTTAAAGCGACCGCCTTGCGGGGAGCCCTGTGGCCCGGCACTTTACTTTGCCGCGAAGGACACTCGACGTGCTATTTGCCTTGAATTAGCAATAAAATGTTTTGACGAGCATTTGCTCGCCTCTTTCTATACCCACGGCAAATGGGCTAAAGGAGTATTTTAGTTAAGTGCAAATTTATGTAACGTTCAGATGGAGGCTATTTCGATTGGGATGATGTGGGCGTGTCCAGCTGTCTTTCTGTCTGTGCAGGCGAAACTCTCGAACTGCACAAAAGCTAGAGAGTTGATTTTTCGCTTATCGATATTCCCTTTATCGATTTCGGCTTCGATAAATGCCGATAAATAATATTAAGAACTGGTTTTTTAAGCAAAGCTCGAAAATTATAAGTGCGAGTCAGATAAAACTTGGCATGAAGGTGTTTGGATAGCATATTTCAGATGAAAAACCATTCATTCTAGAAAAATCGCCACCACATTATTGATCAAATATAAGGCCTTAGACTTTAGTATATATATTATTTGCGACCTTAACATATCATAAGGAACGGACAATAAGCGCAGAAGGGGCTGGAGAGTAGCTTAGGAAGGGTATTTGCTAGTCGTTCAGTTTAGGGGATCAAAGCAGTTGCTTAAGAAGGCATCTACAGGGTATTTGCTAGTCGTTCAGTTTTGGGGCTCACAACAGTTGCTTAAGAACGCATTTCCCTGCATAATATGGGCCTAGAGAGTGGCATCTACAGGGTAATTGCTAGTCGTTCACTTTTGGGAGTCACACCAGCTACTCAAGAAGGCATTTCCCATGCATAGTGTGAGGCGGGAGAGTGGCATCTACAGGGTATTTGCTAGTCGTTCACTTTTGGAGCTCACACCAGCTACTCAAGAAGGCATCTACAGGGTATTTGCTAGTCGTTCACCTTTGGGACTCACACCAGCTACTCAAGAAGGCATTGCCCATGCAGACAGTGGACCTGAACACTGCTGCTTACAGGGTATTTGCCGGTCAGTCACCTTTGGGGCACACTTTCTTATTTCCTTGAAGTTTTTGTTTTATTTTTTGTTAGCCGGACAAACTATGTATTCAATTTCGTTATCCTTCGCTCGTGACCGTTGGCTAATTCCTTTTTGGGGCTGTCGCCATTAAATGGTCGTTGTGCCCCGCACAGCGTGCATTGCCTGGCAAATCCCGGAGATCCGGCAGACCAGAGGACACTTTTTGGCCATTCAGTTGGAAGCGGCAATCCGCACAAATGGCGTGCAGAAATGCACGAAGGACGAGCTGACTTCATGCTGCCTACAAATTGTCCTTTTCATTCCCTGCACCATCTATTTTTTATTTTTTTTTTCCCCTACTTTTTGTCGCGCTCCTAAACCAGCCCTGGTCTAAAGTGTTGGCCATTTTGGTGCGGCATGTGTGAATAATCGCCGGAAAGGAGACGAAAGCCCAACGCTAAAGTTCCATTGAATATACACACACACATGCATACACACACACATGCACACACTCGAGGAATATAATCCGAGAATTTTGTGGTTAAATCAGGCACAAACATTGTTTAAATGCCAGCAAGTTTTGCATTTCTTAAGCTCAGTCTTTCATTTAAAAACAAAAAACTTAAAAAGAGTACTTAATTTAAGATATTTCCTACTTTTATTGAGCACATTTAATGCATTTTTTTAAGCAACGAAATTCTTGTTACGAATATTTTTTGCTGCACTTTAAACCTTTTCGCTTATTTCGAAATTTCTCAAAGGAAAACTTTAAGAAAATACTTAATTTAAGATATTTCCTGCTTTTATTGAGCACATTTGATGCACTTTTTCAGCAAGGAAATTCTTGTTTCAAGTATTTTGTGCTTCTAGACCTTTCCTCAATCGAAAACTTAATTTAAGATATTTCCTACTTTTATTGAGCAAATTTGATGCACTTTTTAAGCAACGAAATTCTAGTTTAAGGTATTTTGTGCTTCATTCTAGACCTTTCCTCAATCAAAAACTTAATTTAAGATATGTATTTCGTACTTTTATTGAGCATATTTAATGCATTTTTTTAGGCAACGAAATTCTTGTTTTAAAGCACTTTGAGCCTGTTTTATCTGATTCCGTAATTTCTCAATAAAAAACTTGAATAAAATATTTCATTTAAGTTATTTTGTACTTTCATTGAGCACATTTCGAAACTTAGTTTTCAATATATTTTTGCTGCAATTAAGTTTGAAATGAAAGCTTATTTATAACTTGACTAAGTATTAAGTTTTAGGCAACAGAACATTTATCTAAATTCAATTGCAATTAAAGCCGCACTTTTCGCTGAGTGTATTTACATTCCAACTGCCAACTCCCAGTCATTAGTCTCTCAATTCTGTTTCCTCCCAACCCACGTCAACAATTTATATAAATGCCACGCTTTCAATAAATTTGCGGTTCTCTATTACCTGATCCTGTTGTGGTTGTGGCCAACAGCAACTGGGCCCTCGACCGTAACCTCAGCTAAATTAATGTAAAAGTCGCCAGCCGCAAAACTAATTTGTCATGCGTGTGCCAAAATGGCAGAGAATGCAGCCAAAGCCGGGCAAACACCTGCCACCTACCAAATGCCATGGCCAGGCGCTGACTGCGGGCCAGCTCAATTAAAATACATGAAATTATGCAAAAATGCCGTAAACAGAAATGCAAATACACACACACAGGCACACAACATACAGCCAGAAACAAGCTGGCTTCTCGTTTATGCGCTGCACAAATTCATGAATTCAAATTAAAGCAATATATATGTAAAATCTCTTTTGCTTCAAACTGCAAGAGCTTAAGAATTCTTTAGCTAAAAACTAAACAAGAATAGATTCAAAGAATAAGGATATCTTCGACATGCCGAAGTTTTAATGCCCTTATCGTTGCCCTACGCTTTTGCTAATGTCTGAGAATAGCGCAGCTCGCAAATGAAGACTTTGCCATAAAAGAAACTAAGCTTCGAACGATCGTTCCAATCCGATATATGCACTAACGGATATAGAATATTATTATACCCTGTAAAGGGCAAGCATAAAAGCCTTATTTTAAGAAAAACAATATTCAATTAAACTTGAACCGAACCAAACGCCAGATTAGTCGTACCCAAGCCAAGTTAAGCTTATTGTTTCTGCATAGTTTTTAGTCTCGAATTGCGGCTGTGATTTGGCTTCTAAATTTAAATTCCAGCTAAGTTTTGCCACAAAAATTCGCATAAGAGCAGCTGCTTTAAATCAAGGCCAAGTCGTTATAAAAAAAAAAAATACCTTAAAATGTGTTTCAAGCTATTTTTGGGCTCTTTAACGAGCATTAAAACGCACAAATATCACGTATACGCCTAATGGGCTTTAAGTACGGGTAATAAATATAAACGCACAGCTAGCCCCACTCGCTCTCCCTGCCTCTCTCTCTCTTGCTCTCCCTCTCCAAGTGTATTTCTCTGTACTAGCACATTTTGGCTACCGCCCCCCCACCACGCCCCCATTGAACATTTTTATATAGTCTCTAGTTGCGGCACTTGGAACAACATTTCCATTCACATTTGTCGTTCGCTCGTTTTTCGTTCTCACTCATTTCGTTGCGCTCCTCACACATTTCTCGCTCTCTCTCTCTCTCTCTCTTTCTCTTTCGCTCTCTCTCTCGCTCTCTTCTTTCACTTTTGCTGTGGCTTGCCAAAAACGCAGGACTACGTGACCGTATACGATGGCTATACCACACGTGACCCCATCATTTTGAAATTTTGCGGCGGAGGTCAGGCGGTGCCGGCAGCCGTATCCAGCGGTCCGGAGCTGCTGGTCGAGTTCAGCACATCGCCGTTTGGCACCTTTACGGGCACCTCGTCGCAGCTGCTGCCGCTCTACGGCTTTCAGCTGGAGGTGAGTAGCTCCAACTCTGTGCCAGCCGCACTTTTTACAACCAACACACATCTCGTCCAGGTGGAGGTGCAATTCGTGGACATCCAGAGCCCGACGTACTCGAAGAACAAGAAGCCGTGTGAGTTTTGGATACGTGGCGCTGGACGCGGCATTCTGGAGAATCCCAAACACTCGCTGGCACCCAACTCCACGTGCCTGTATCATCTGCAGGGCATGGGCGTCTTCAAGACCTTCGACCATTTGAGCCTGTCGCGTCGCACCAACAGTCAGTCCGGGCTGCATCAGCCGCTCTCCCGCTTCAAGGTCTGGATCTCTGTGCTGAAGTTCAATCTGGATCCGGAATTTGGACAGATCGATGAGACGTCGGTGGGCGCAATTGGCGTGCTGCAAACGCAGGAGGACTGCAGCGGCATGCTGCGCATCTGGGACGGCACACTGCGCGATGCGCCCGTCTGCAAGGATCTCAACTGGTGAGTGACTCTGCCCGATCAACTGCACCATACCTGGCTCAGCTCTGCCTACCTCCATACTCACAGCGCCAGCGAGCCGAGCGGCTACAATGCGCTGGGCCATTATTCGCACAACTCGACGAATGTGATTGCGCGCTTCTGTCGCGGCACGATTCCGCGCACCTGCGATCGCTCCAACATCAATGAGACCTTTGCGCGACCCTGCACCATCTCCGAGAGCTATGTGTCCAGCAGCGATGCCATCACGCTGGAGTTGCGCAACACGGAGTCCACGGTGCTCAGGTGAGCTGTCCCTGAAATCTGTCGTATTAATGGAAGAAACCGAACGCGCACCGTCCTTTTCTTGGCATAAACTGACTCTCTCGCTCACTCTCACTCTCTCTCTCTTCCTCTGCAGACCCCTCGACTTCAAGCTGAAGTACGAGTTCATTGATCTGCATCAGGATGGCCTACCTCAGGGCGGCGGCGAGCTGGACTGCAATCGCAAGTTTGTCAGCAGCCTAATGGATCGCAAGGATCCGGCCATCTTTCGCAGCGTGCGCAACATATTCCTCTTTGGCCGCGGCGGCACGCGGCATCTCAAGTGTGTCTATCGCTTCGAGGCGCTGCGCGGCGAGCGGGTGCGCATCAAGCTGCGCAAGGTGACCACCTCCAATAGGGTTTGCTATTCGCGGCTGGACGAGGACATCAATCGCTCCTTCTGCTATGGCGACACCAATGTGCGCGTCGAGGTTTGTTTGCAGCTGCCCCAAAGCGAGTTTCTCCAATGCTAATGTTTATATATAACTATGACAGATCTTTGAGCGTCCGTATCCGGACTCGATACTGTTGCATCGCGGCTGTGTCTGCAACTCCTCCAATCAATCCCATCTGCCCATTGAGTACACTTCCACGGGACGCGACGTGGAGGTGCATTTCATAGCACAAAATATGACCACATTGGATGATCCGGACACGGCCAATTTTGAGGGCATGTTTGAGTTCGTGAAGGCGCCCACCAGCTGCAAGGACGGCAGACGCAAGTTTGGACCCAGCGGCACCATCGACATGACCTTCGGTGATGTAAGTGCCGCCCAGCTTTGTATACCCTGTAAATCCTGTGGGTAGTAAGTCCTGGCTAGCCGAGGAATCCAATCACAGTTGTGGTGGACTGTTCACATTTTTGACTTAGCCCAGTTGGGGTTCGTCTTACCAGATCAAGGTGCTTCTGGTATAGCTTAGAGCTCGGTACAAGTACCTTACCAGGATCGCATTAAGACCTGATAGAGGCGTTCGCCGCTCGAATTAGCTGATTATCCAATGCAACATTGGATAATCACCCAGGGTTACCACGAGGAGGTCTTCGAGTCGACTTGACTAATGATTTACGAATTACGCAAGCTGTGCTGGCCCTTCTACATCAGTCCATTAAACCCCGCCCCGTGAGTACAGGGTATATTGCAGTCTAGCGAACGATAGATCTATTGAATATCTCACAGATCGTAAGGATTATGAATTCCCTTCTAGCACACACTTATCCAATATAATTTTTTTGAGCTGCACTCGTTTGCTGACCTGTTTTTTTGAGTCACATGGGAAAGTATATATCCTTATTACCCTTGCCTTCTCCCACCCATCTCTTAAGATATATTCTATCACGTTCACCTGTGCCCCTTTGCAGATCGAATGCCGCTCCAGACCCTGGCTTATCGAACCCTCCAATGGCAACAAGTTTCTCTATGTGCGTCTCAAGGCCATCTTTCTGAGCAAACACAATCCGAGAAAGACGTTGAACGCGACCCATTTGGAGACCAACAGCTGGCGCTGCGAGACCAAGGCCCGTGCGGTGCTCACCACATCGGAGGGTAAGCAGCGTCGTCTTGAGCGTGTTTGGAAAACCCTTTAAAAGTAATTCTTTATACCACATCCAGGTCTGACCATTGTGGCCTGTCCGCTGAGTCCCGATTCGAACGCTTACGAATTTGTGGAGATCTTCAGCTCCGGCTGGAACGAACGACCCAATTTCGCGCTGATCAATCATTCCCGTGCGATAAGCGTCGAGTTTCTGCGTCCCAGCAATGGCGATTACACCTTCAATTGGATGGAACTGGTGCCCAGACCAACGCTCAGCATAGCTGGTGAGTATCCAGCCCAACTTGTTGGTATAGAAATCTAAATCCAATATCTTTTGCATTCACAGAGGATTGTCAATTCAAGTGCGCGGAGCTGGGCGCCTGTGTGAATGCGAGCGTCTGGTGTGATGGCATCATCCATTGTCCCTCCGGCGATGATGAGGCGTTCCTCCAGTGCTCCGCTCTGATGAAACTGCCCGCCGAAATACTTGCCACGCTCTGTCTGATATTTGTGCTCTCGTGTTGTGCTTTCGCCGCCTTTGCCTACAAGTTAGTAACTCGAGAACGACTCTCCGTAGCCATAAAATATACACATATATATATTCTTGATCAGCAACATCAGCTGAGTCTGTCTGTCTGTTTATGTGCCAAGTAGAGTCTCAGGCTTAAAGCTGATAAGACTTAAGTCCGTCTTTTGTTGCAGACGTTCAAATTAATCGGATATAATTTTATAACATATATTATTTAACCCACACACTTTACAAAAAAGAAAATCTCCTTAAAAGGAAAAATATTCTTAAATTTTAAAAATTGTAGCAACCTTCCTAATAAATCGATTCTCTAGATCTCTTGGAGATCTTTCTCTTGCAAGAACTCCAGCTTGGGACTTGCAATATTTAATATACGCCCAGTATAAGATCAAAATGTCAAAATTTTAACAGTTGATCGATAGCATAGTACTTGTATGATATTTATTCCAATTTTCAATGTAACCCAAGCAAATCGTTCAGTTACAAGCTTCAAATTAATCCTAAGATGAAAAATGTAATATATGAGATGATGATAGACAGGCAGACAGACTTGCAGACAGAGAGACTGAAAGGCTGACAGACTGACAATCAGACATGCAGACAGACAAACAGACGGATAGACTGGGAGACAGGGCGAGCGGCTTGCAGAAAGACAGACAGCCTTGCAGACAGACAGACAGTTAAACAGGCAGACAGGCAGACAGACTGACAGTCAGACTTGCAGACAGACGGACAAGCTGGTAGACAGAAAGACAGACTGACATACAGACAAATAGATAGACAAACAGGCAGACAGGCAGACAGACTGGAAGATAGACTGGAAGGCAGCAGACAGGCAGATAGACAGGCAGATCGACAGACGCGCAGGCAGACAGAGAGGCTGGGAAACAGATCGAAGGACAGACAGACAGACGAGCAGACAGACAGACAGGCAGACAGACAAGCAGACAGTCAGGCAGACAGACTGATAGTCAGACTTGCAGACTGTCTGCCCGTCTAGACTGGTAGACAGAAAGACAGACTGACATACAGACAGCTAGATAGACAGACAGAGAGACAGACTGGAAGACAGGCAGATCGACAGACGCGACAGGCAGACAGACAGGCTGGAAAACAGATCGAAGGACAGACAGTCTTGCAGACAGACAGATCGGCAAATAGGCAAACAGACAGACAGTCAGGCAGACAGACTGATATCAGACTTGCAGACTGTCTGTCAGCTAGATAGACAAGCAAGCAGACAGGCACACAGACAGAGAGAAGACTGGAAGACAGGCAGATCGACAGACGCGACAGGCAGACAGACAGGCTGGGAAATAGATCGAAGGACAGACAAGCAGACAGACAGACAGTCAGGCAGACAGTGACACAGACAGACAGACAAACAGGAAGGCAGAAATATAGACCATATATACTTATGCAATCGCATTTCGACTTTGGCACACCGAATACAACTACTCGCGATTCACACACATTTATTCATAATTCTCATTGGTCTATTCCTTAGAAAAATCAAACGCAAATTGCGCGGCTCATCGGTGCTGCAGACGCGTCTCAAGTCGCTCAGCTCGATGGATACGGCGGTGCTGGATGAAAAGGAGGTGATTTGCTGACAAAGCGACAATTCTGTGCGTTACGTTGAGATCGATCGTGTGACCACGGTCTGATTGTCGACGGCCACTAACGTGCAGAATTGTGCCCCGGAACTGAAACTGAAATCAATACTAAACAAACAAAACACAAAACAAAACATAAATCCAAAAACTGAAAACGCGATCAAAAGGCAATATAATATGCTCGACATTAAAAAAAAAAAAAAAAAAAAAACAAATCAAAAAAAAAAAAACAAACTCAATACCGAAATCAAAAGTCGTTCACACCTGTTTTTAAAATGCATTTAAATCAAAAAGAAAAACCAAAAAACCAAGAGAAAGGTTTTATTTCGTATTTAAACTCGGTTTTATACAGTTTATATATATAAATATATATATATAGAAATGTGGGTAAGAGACTCGACAACACGAGCTGTTTTATAAGCAATTTTTCTAGGCCTAACTTGATATTTTCTTTTCCCATGCAAGTTGTCGTCGCAATACTTTTTTCACACACTGTACATACAATAAGCGGACGTTACGTAGCATTTAGAGCGACAAATTTCCGCTAGGTTTTTTACAAAAGTTTACCGAATTACCAAAAGCTCATAGACCTATGTAGATACAACTGTTTCCTAATAGCCTCTAAGAAAACGACATACTAGCCAAAATAAAATTAATCAAAACAAGTTGACTAAAAACCTTTTGAAAATAAACAAAAAGAAAAGCAATTAACTCTTAGTTAGTGGTGGGCGGGGCTACAACGCCCTAACTGAGTACTCGTAGTAATTATTTCTTCTGGTAAGTCCATGTCGGGCCGACCACAGCATTTATTATGCGACGCACAAATAAACCAAAAAGTGACTAATTGAAAAAGAGTAATATATTAAACAAAATAATCCAAGTAGAACGTAAGCGAAAGTCTTTGACAATTTAAGATTTGTCTCGATTGCAGCGTAAACCTAATTAAATAGTCGCCAGATCGTTCAGATCATGCGATAAAGATATATGTCAATATCATGTGACTGCAAATCCAAAACAACATTTTTGAGCAGTGCACGGTTCGAACCAGCGACCACTCTTAGCCCCATGAACCTAGAACTAGCTGTGAGCCTTGGTACTCAATTATTAGAACACATATTTATTAATATATTATCCGAAGTGGAAACACTTTCCAAATTCGGAGTACTTTTGGTTTAGTTTCTATGATTTCTTTTTAGCTAATTCTGTTCAAGTTGCGGTTCATGGTAAATAAAAGTCGAGTCAAATATGGTTTGAACCGGTTCGATCGGTTCGGTTAGGACCCTTTGCAGCCTAGGTCAATATAAGCTAGAAACTAGTTAAAAATTCGTTAGTCGTTTCATAGACGTAGCCAATCATGCATTATATATCACCATAATAAGCATATACTGAGCCAAATGCAGTTCGGATCGAATATATACACACATATATGTTAAGTCTTAAAGTCACGCCCCAAGTCACGCTCATTGTTGTTCTCGTTGTTGTTGTTCGTCTCCAAAAAAAAAAAAAAAAAACAAATGTGCACTGTTTCGCTCTCATAGCTCACAAATTCACATTTAGCGCCTGCCTAACCCCACACACGCACACACACATCCTGCAAGAAAAAAAAATAGAAAAAAAAAAAAAAATAAACAAAAATCGTTTTCCTTTTCTGCATGGCAATATGTTGGCTCTGGGCTCTGTGGCAGCTAACTAAAATTCGATAATTCTCTATTTTATATTCTTTCTTCTGAATAATCGTTTGATTTGGTATCGAAGAGAACGGCTGAGACCAAGGCCTAAAGCTTGGCAGCAACAACAAATGCGCAACTGGGCTGGCGGCAGACAGACAGACAAAGAGAGAGACAGAGAGAGAGAGAGAGAGAAAGAGGGAGAGAGAGAGAGAGAGGGCGAAAGATCAAAGAGAGAGTGTGAGAGCGAGAGAAGTCAGAGATCGAACAGGGCCTCACGATCCACGATCTTAAATGCAATTAATACCAACAACTCAACATAAAAGTATTGTAAATATTAAGCAAGAACGTGAACAAATAGAAAACTGTATAACAATTTTACACACATCGCGTTTTATTTATCTCGAATATATCAACATTTATCTATAACCGAAACAGATGCCTATGTTACATACGCTCGAAAATAGTGAAACAAGTTTTGATGTTCAAATCAAACGCAGACAATAAAAAAAACAAAAACACAACAAATCACAAAAACATATTTCATTTGAAACGATTTTGAGCTACTAGTAGAGAATACACATATATATATAAATATATATATATATATATATCTGCGATTCTTGGAGATCGGAATCGTCGGCATATGCCCAAAAACAATTGAAAACAATTTAAAGAAAGTATTCAATAAATTCAATTAAATTAAAAAACGTCATAAAAAATTAGGCAAATACAATTAAATATATATCAAACTATATATAGACACACACATATATATGTATATATATATATATATATATATGTGCGCCGATCTCATTTAAATGGACTGAGGCAAAGATGTGCTGGCGAAAAGCCAGAGGCCCGGAAGAGCGTCAACAATTGCAAAGACCACATAAGCTTAGATTTTTAAAATTAAACAAAAAAAATTTAAAGAAAATTAAAAAAAAACCAAAACAAAATTAAACCCGTAAATAAACAGAAAACGTAAACTAAATTGAAATGTTGTAAAAAAAAAAAAAAAAAACAAAAAAAAACCGAAAATCATATCAGATTCTAAAATGATATTAACATTAAAGGGAAAAACGTAAACTCAATAAATGAACACTTAAATTCAAATCAAATCTGTTCACGGCTTACTACTTTAATATATATAGCCGCAGTTCCGGATCTAGCCCAGTTGGCTCTCCGTCCTGGGATTCGGAGCAGACGCCGGGCTGCCGTGCCGCTGGCGATGCTTGTAAAGCGAGCTCGGATCTCGCGTAGAGAACTTGCAATGCTCGCACTTCAGCGGCTTCTCGCCCGTGTGCTGGCGCATGTGTATCTGCGGGGAATTGGGGACAATTACTTAAAGACTCTTAGATAAGAACAAATATAATACGGCTTGCCGGTGTCCAATTGATAACCAATCTGTCAATCAGTCAGTCAGTCAGTCTGTCAGGACAAACAGTTTTATATATAGAGATAGATAGATATGTCTTACTATTAGGCTAGCCTTGCGCGCTGTCTTCTTGCCGCAGACATTGCATATGAAAGGTTTTATCTTGTTGTGCACGGTCTTCACGTGCTTGGAGAGCGTTTTGCCATTGACAAATTTGCGTTGACAAATCTCGCATGTTTTCTCTGCGTAATATTTGTTCTTCTTAGCTGTGGCGGCCTGTGGCTGCGATGCTGTGGCTTCGCTCCGCTGTTGCTGCTGCTGTTTCTCCTGCTGCTGCTGCTGCTGCTTCTGGGCACGCCGACGCAGCAGCAGCTCACGCCGCATGACCCTGGCGCGCCAGCTCCTGTGCACACGCATGTGCCGCCAGACGAGCGCCGAGATGGGCGACTTGTAGTCGCAGCCGATTGCGGGACACTGCAGCAGATCCACATCCAATTGATGCACCTTCCACAGGTGAAGGGAGCAGCGGCGCCAGTTGGGCATATCCGCACCGCACTCGCTGCAACTGAAGCCGGCGTCCTTGTGGCACTTGCCGTGCATTGCCAGCTTTTGGATGTCCTCAAATTTGTAGATGCAGGCGCTGCTGGCATCGCAACTTTGTTGGGATTACACAGTGTAAACTTTGGAATTTTCTTTTTTAAAGTCATAAAGTGCTTCTTACGGCAATTGTTGATTTGCATGCAGCACCACCCGAAAGTCTCTAAACGGCAGTGGCTGCAGCTCGGCAGGTGGTGGCGGCGTCAGGGACTCTTCATTTTGATCCTGAGACTCCGTATTCTTGGCATTTCGCTTTGGCAACGCGCCTTGCCGCGACGTTGGTTTAATGGGCTCACACTTGTGGTATAGCATCATGTGGCCACGCAGATCCTCCAGTAAATCGTATTGACGCAGGCACAAACTACACACATAAACAATACGCGGAGGCAGCTCCATGGCAAACAAATTAACTCTTCAAAACTTATTTCAATTGAGCGGCTAGACAGACAAGCATCAGCTGTTTAGTTAACAGTAACGGTAGTAGCTTAACATTCTGCCGAAATGTTAATAACGTGGTGCTAGCTTGTACTGCTAAAATTTGGATTTAACAGTTGCATTGGAAAAGACAGATATTGCCTTGGACACGTATTGAAGGCGCTCAATAACAGGGCTGCTTAAAATGTTACATTGACAGGGGATAACAGTACCTAACAAGTTTAGCTATTTGAAAATCGCCAAAAGAGCTGCTACAAAAATAAAAAGTATCGCACATCACAAGAAAATAAGAAATAGTTAAGGCGTTAAGCCTTGCCACCTTTTTGCAATATTGTCTGCAGCCAGTCAGAGTGCTGGTATTTAAATGTTCTTAGCTTACGGTCACACTGTCAACAGGAAAAACGCGAACGCGTATAAAAAAAATAATTTTATAATTTTATTTAATTTATTAGTTCTTAGCGATAAATCAGCAGAACGCTATAGTCTCGGACTTCATAGGCATAACAAATATGGGCAGCGCGCTGGAAAACTATGTGAATCAGGTGCGCACACTAAGCGCAGCGGGTAAGTGTTTCAGGCGCCGGGCGAACAAAACGAATGCATTTTTTTATATATATTTTTTTTTTTGATTATTATTTGCCTAATGCAGGCAGCTACCGAGAGCTGGCCGATGAGTTGCCCGAATCGCTTTCGCTGCTGGTGCGCAACTGGAGCATATTGGACAATGTGCTCGAAACGCTAGACATGCAACAGCACACGCTGGGCGTGCTCTATGTGCTGCTCGGCAAACTGCACAGCGCCGCGACCGCCAATCCGGAGCCGGTACAAATCATTCAATTGATGCGAGAATTTGTGCAGCGCAGCAATGTGGAGCAGCTCCGCTTTGCCGTCTGCCCCTGTAAGTGTTATCATGGACATTAATTGCCCTACTTTGCCAGTTCAATTCATCTCTGATCCCTGCCCTTTCTGCATGAACAGTTTACGAGACTTGTCATTTGTTTACGGACTTTCTGGTGCAGAAGAACCTTAGCATTTTGGGCATTAAGGTGCTGTCGCGTGCCATTGAGCAAATTAGACAAATGGATACACAGCTAACGCCCATACACGCCGATCTCTGCCAGCTGAGCCTTAAGGCAAAAAACTTTAATCTAATACTGCCCTATTTGGATACGGACATAACAGACATCTCCACCGTTGCCGCCGAATGCAAAAATCAGCAACAACAGCAGCCGCAGCATACGCTGGTACAACATAGCTTCGAATCCTAAACATGCTTCACTTGCTCATCTGTTTTGCTTATCTCTGCAGGATGCCAACAACGATGCCAAGTACTTTTTGTTGTACTATTATTATGGCGGCATGATCTTTACGGCAATTAAGAACTATGAGCGCGCCTTGTATTTCTTTGAGGTGTGCATCACCACGCCCGCCATGGCCATGTCGCACATCATGCTGGAGGCATACAAAAAGTTTCTCATGGTTTCACTGATTGTCGAGGGCAAGGTGTGAAATCTGACAATTTAGATAGCTGATCCATCAACTAATTTATTGATTCCCGTGCAGATATCGTATATACCAAAGAACGCACAGGTCATTGGGCGTTTTATGAAGCCGCTGGCCAACTATTATCATGATCTGGTCAATGTGTATGAGAACTCGTCAAGCGAGGAGCTGCGCATTATTATACTCAAATACAGTGAAGCATTTACGCGTGATAACAACATGGGCCTGGCCAAGCAGGTGGCGACGTCCCTCTACAAACGTAACATACAGCGTCTGACGAAAACCTTTCTCA